TGGGGTGCTGGGGTCTCGGCAGGATTCGTCTCGGGTTTTGTGAAAAATTCGGGGCGGGTCCTGTCATGGGGCGAAAGTTGCCTTCGGGCCAGCCCGGGTTGGTGGGTCCCACACCCCCCCCCGGGCCTGGGCTGCATGGCTGGAAGCGGATTTTTGTTTTTTTCCCCCCTCCCCTCGGGCTGGGCTGCATGGTTGGAATAGCTCTTAGCGATTTCCACATAATGAAGTTTGCAAGTTTGACTACGGGGGGGTGTATTCAATTGGGATTTTAAAAGAATTTTAGGATAAATAAGTCTTGTGGTATTCAATTAAGATTTTTAAATAATCTAAAAAGTCTTGTGGTATTCCATTAAGACTATTAAGACTTTTTAAAGAGGGTTACCAAATCTGGTGGTATTCAATCAAAACTTTAAACAAGTAACAAAAAGTCTTATGGTATTCAAAAACTTGCTAATTTGGAAGGATTTTTTTTTTTTTTTTTTTGAGAGAAAGCGATCAATTTGTATTCAATTAGAAGAAGCTTACATAGAACAGAGCATGTCAAGAGTGGCCTCGTTAAAACCTTCCCGGGAAAAACCCAAAGGGATAAAACCCCGAGGTAGGAAAGAGTACCACGCACGCTAATAAAACAACAACTTAGAACTCAACTGGAATCGTAAAACCCCGGGGAAGGATTTTTTCAAAATGCGGAATATGTGAGATTTTTCAGTGAGAGGTATAAATACCAAACCCTATCTCAAATCCCACCTTAACCCATCAGATTTTCAGGTGAGACTTTTTTTATTAATTCCTTCCTCACCTTGACCTCCGCCCAAGTAGTTGTGCACTGTCCCTAACGACCAAACCATCAATACCTAGAGCTACTTGCTGTTGGGTGTAGGCAACGACCTTCCTTCCATCCCCATCTCCCTTTTTGTTGCATAATAAAATCTTGTGAATTCTCCATCACCTTCAACCCCAATTCACAAATAAAAATCTCAACTTTGTTCTCTGATTTTTCTGTGGTGGGGCAGTGGGGCGGTGGGCTGACGAGATAGAAGACATGGAGGGGCACATAGAGAGTTTTTCTGGTTTTTTTTTTCCTCTGATTCTATAATTGACCAATAAGAAGTGGGTTTGTTGCCAATGTGTATATTGGAAGATCTTTGGTAAGTTTTATGGTAGATGCAATGAGTTACATACTGCCTATAGGGCGTTTGATGAAATGCCTGTGAGAAATGTGGTGTCATGGACATCCATTATTTCAGGGTTTGCACAAGCGTGGCAGGTTGATGTGTGTGTGCAGCTTTTTAGTGAGATAAGGCATTCTTCAAAACCAAATGATTTTACGTATGCCAGTATTCTGAGTGCTTGCACAGGCAGTGTAGCTCTTGGGCATGGCAAAAGTGCTCTCTGCCAGCAAGTGATAGGGTTGTCATCTCAATAAACAAGTCATTATTGACAGTCACAAACTTAGCCATAAAAGTTGAAGTCAACTAAGAAATCTTTTAGAGCACTATAAAGTTATTTGTCAGTTGTTTCATAATCAAGAATGGCCTTCATAAATTTAAGTAAAGTGGACCCTGAAAAGTCACCAGAGCCAAAACCTACTTAATGAAAGAACTACAACTAAGTAATGTATCTTGGAATAAGGCAAAGATAATGTATCTTGGGGATGTCAAAGATGCGCTTTACATACTCAAAAATTTGGATGGCAAAGATAATGTAACTTGGAACTCCATGATTACAAGGTATATATGCCCAGCACAGCCTTACGTCGCAGGCTCGCAGCCTTTCATCCTGTAAGGTTCATGTAAGTGTAAGGTTCATGGAAGCGTGTGGATTGGCATTGAAGCTGCAGATAACGTGGCAAACCTGTGCAATTGGAGCCAGAGTGTGGTTGTGCAATTGGCAAACCTGTATGCTAAGCGTGGGATGCTGGTACGGGGCAGCAAGAGTTTGGAAGTTGATAAAATAATATTATTTCTTACTTATTTTTGTATTGAGAAAGACATACAAACAATGAAATAATAGCTTTTAATTTTTACGGGTCTATTTCTTCTAAAAAAATCTTATGTTGAACCCAGAAAAAATCCATGTGGTCCTTTCAAATCTTATAAATCTTATTATAGAAATCTTTAAAATCCTTAAGTAAAAAATCTTTATTATATAAATCCATAAATAAAATCCTATAAGTCATTATGTTCTTGTTAAATCTACTAGACTTTTTTTATCCCTAAATAGTCTTTTAAAATCTCAATTGAATACACCCCCCTACAATTATAATGAAATCCTAGTATCCTAGTTGGTCCCACCACATAATGAAGTATGATATTCTGTTAATAAAAAAAAAAGATATATGTGAAACTTAGCCCTAGCGGTCCCAAAAAAATTTATGTTGCCTTTCTGTATTCTATGCAGTCAAAGTCGATCTCATCATCAATACCCATAGTAAGGGTAAAGTCCTTACCTAATTCTCAAGTTTTAATCTTTTTCAATTTTCTCAAGGATCGCACGGGGCACAACTTCAATAGGTACAATTGGAATTATGTTGTTGAACATATATTCATTTTGATAATGTGTATTTTTTATTACATTTAATATGTATTTGTTTTATATTAAAGCTGATTGAAAATTAGTTAATGAAGCTATGAATTAGCGTAACTTATATGATCTAATGTATACTTTTATTTGAGCTAACCCACCCGTCGAAAAATTCCTAGTTCCACCCTTGCAACCATGCTCCCTATCAATGCTATTTAATTTTTATTGCTTTTTTATGTCTACACTTTATTCAAAAACTGAATTATAAATTAATTAATTAATAGCATTAATTATGACTCCCTAAACTAAGGAGTATAGTTGGAGTTGAAATTTCATAAAGAGCTCCTAAACAAATAGTATTTGCACACGATTGTAAATGCTATTACTAGACAAGTAGTTTGTGCTCACAACACGCAACTTGGGCCACCTCTGCTCCGACGATCAAAACAAGCGGATGGCCTAGATTTTGTTTCTTTCATATGGGACGATTGCAGTTGGAAATATTTTTGTGCCCACTCAGGTTGTGGCCCTTGTTTCTTTGGGCGAGGGCTGGCTCTACATAAGCACATCTAGAACAAGCATTCTCAAACACCCTCATCAGTGTGGATTGCGACATTACAACCATCCTTGCTGCAACTCTTTCTATCTTTCTAGTTTTTATTTTTAAAACTTCATTTCTTTAAGAGAAATTTTATTTTATTTTTATCAAGTCAAGAGCTTTCATTCATACTGAAAACATCAACAATACAACTAGATCATGGCCTCTCTAGGTGCTACAAAGTAACCTCGTTAAAACCTTGCCATAAAAACCCCCCTGGAGAAAATCCAAATTTCATTTATTTTTTGAAATACAAAGTTTACTTAGTTTTTCTTTTTTCATTTAATTTTTATTTACTCAGTATCAAAATTTAGTGAAAAATCTAACAAATAATAAACACTGCACTGCTTCCTTTTTGGTTTTGGTGGTAATTATTAACATTGCATTAAAAGGTTTGTTTTTATTATTATTTTTTGAATGACCATAAAGAGACACTGTACGTAAGTACCCTCGTTATGGTTTGTGTCAACAAAAGATGTAGAGGCTAAGGACAGCACAGTACACCCTCTTTTTAGGTTATGCCGAAAGAAGGTGGGTACGTACAGGATCCTATTAACTAGCAGTAATGGAGATAAGAAATTAATATGAGCACTGAAACCCCACATAGAGGAGCTCGGCCTAACCACCGCCTCATTACTCAACTGGACTCACAATTACAGTGCCCCCCACCCCAACCCCGGCCGCTTCTCCTATATAAGAAGCCCATAACTCTTCTCCAAATGCACTGCGCAGCCTTCAACCTCTGGTTCTGGCACTCCTTATTTACAATTGAGGAGCCTAAAACAGTTTGACATGTGTGTGGAAGTTTATTTTTTATGAATTATTGTTGTGCATATGTCAAATCATAATTTGCTGGCAAATAAGGCAGAATCCAAACTAGAATTTACATTATGTTGTATATATGTATGTTATATTCTTTGTTAATATGATCATAATAACAGCTTCCAATGCCATGCATATGGCTAGCTGATTGATCGGTAAAGATAGTTAAGCTTTTAGCCTGAAAACTTGGTTACTTAATTAATAAACTATAAGTATTACTTCGTCAAAAATAATGAACGTAGGATTTGATGATCTCGTCATTTTTCTTTGTATATAGAATGTGGAAGTTGAAGATAGCCGAAGGTGGACCTTGGTTGACTACCGTAAACAATCACGTAGGTCGACAACATTGGGAGTTTGATCCAGATGCCGGAACACAGGAAGAACGAGAAGAAGTCGAAAGGGTTCGTGAGAATTTTAAGAAAAACCGGTTTCGAATCAAACAAAGTGCTGATCTTTTGATGAGATTGCAGGTGTGTATGATGAAACCTTATCAGACTATCTATATATTAATAACTGAATCTAAATGACAGACAGAGATCCAATTACCACAACGATTACGATACGTAGTTCTTTCAACATGTATGTCATGATCATATGGTTAATATTCGAGCATTTTCTTTCTTGATAAATATTCAACTTAATTTTTCACATTAGATTTTGTGAAGTTCAAGATTTTTTTTATTTTATTTAGTAGCACTAGTTATTATCTGAACTTTTTTACCAACTGATCTGACGTGACAGTCGTTTACTGATTGTAACCAAATGAACAACTACGTATTAATCTTTGATGCGGAATTTAAACTCACAGCTTAGGACGGAAAACCACTGTGGACCAATACCAGCTCCAGTGAAGGTGGAGGAAACGGAGGAGATAACAGAAAAAGCAATAACAACTACACTGAGAAGGGCTCTTAGCTTCTTTTCTTCCATTCAAACCCATGACGGTCATTGGGCTGTTGAATCTGCTGGTCCCTTGTTTTTCCTTCCACCTACGGTAATAGATCTCTCTTCTGTTGTACGTAACAAATTCATGTACATGCATATAGTTTCAAGTGTTAACTAGTTCGTAAGTTAATACGGTGCTAACTACTCGTGTAGCCCACTCTACAATGCCAACTCTCATGATCAAAACTGTTCTTCTTCTTTTTTATATCATTGTTCAAGGAAAATCTCTACAAATAATTAGCCAAATTGAAAATCGTTTAACCATTTGATTATTATCGTGAAATTTTTCATTGTTTATAATAGGTTGTCTGTTTATTTGATCATAGTTAGATGACTAAAATCTTTTCTAATTTGGATACATTTTTGCAAGGGTGATCTTTAAATGTTGATCTAAAAATAAACAGTTTTGATCATATGATGACATTATACAGTGGGCCTAAACGAATGTTTAGCGCTATATGGGCTCTACAAAAATGTCCCTTAACTTAAAAAATAAAATAAAAGGACATCATTGAGATAATTAATACATCCATTTATGCACTCACGCAGATAATAGCATTGTACGTGACTGGATCGCTTAATGCAGTTTTAGGACAACAACACCAGAAGGAAATGATTCGCTACTTATACAATCATCAGGTACTTATTAATTTCATCTATGACTAGTCAATTGCATAAGAAAATTTGTTTTTAACGAAAAATTTGGGCAGAATGAAGATGGAGGTTGGGGGCTGCACATAGAAGGTCAAAGCACAATATTTGGGTCAACGCAAAACTACGTTGCCTTAAGGCTGCTTGGAGAGGGTCCTGATGATGGTGAAGACACGGCTATGGCTAGAGCCAGAAAATGGATTCTTGACCATGGTGGTGCAGAGGGAATCCCTTCTTGGGGAAAGTTTCTTCTTTCTGTACGTACACATCAATTTTCTACAGAAAATTTGGAGATGCAATCCTTCTAGTTTCTTTTCTCCAATCTAATCAATAATGTTAGGTCACAAGTCTAACCAACTTTTGATTCTTTGGAGAGCAAAACTTGCCATTTTGGACTTTTGATTTTTCACAAAATGTCACATTTTGTGAAAATGAGGACGGTAGATCCGGACTCCAAATATATGATCGACTCATAATATTGAAATTATTTTTTGTCCAAATGAAATTATCACTCTCACACCGACAACAAGAAAAAATAAAACTTGAAAATGTCTTTTTTTTATTTTTTAAATTTCTATTTAAGGGAGCTAATTGTAATTAGGTTCACATAATTAAATGGCCAAACTATACCACTAAATAATTTTTGTTAGGATTTATGTAACCGAAAGCATGTATTTTTCATATAAGTACACAATATTTTATCAATTATGTTACAAAAGTTGAAAGCTTTAACAAATGCATATGCATGCGTGATATAGGTGCTAGGTGTGTACGAGTATTCAGGCTGCAACCCTACGCCGCCTGAGTTATGGCTTCTACCAAAAACATCTCCCATCCATCCAGGTTGGTCATGAAACTTACACATCTTTTGTTTTGAAGCTGCTGCTAAAGTATATAAATATATATAAGATGAGAATTCTTGGTTACTCCAACTCTTTCAGTAAATTCAAAGCGAGCTACTACTGGAAACAAGTCTATTGAATGCGCAAGTAGTGGTGAGATATTAAAGTGGTTCAAACAGTTAGCATA